AAACGAGCTCTAACACTGTTGTTCTCCTGGTAGGATCCGGCTGCAGTGTCGGCTGCTGTCGGGGCAAGGATGCAACGTCTTCTGGTAAATCACAGACTCTCTGCAAACCATTAAAACATCATGCGTTCATACTTATTTAAGGGTTGTTTACATGAACCTTGTTGGGTCCTTTTTAACATCTCAATACAATATTAACAGCCCTGTTTCCCCCTCCAGGATCCAGCTGTTGTGTCGGCTGCCGTAGAATTGAAGATGCAACGTCTTCTGGTAAAACACATTTTTTAACGACGATAAACTCGTACTTATTTGTTGAATTGAAACTCTTTTCACCCCGATAGTATTAAGAACACTTTATTCCCTCCTAGGATCCAGCTGTTGTGTCTGCGGCTGTAGAAAGAAAGATGCAACTTCTCTTGGTAATTATTAAATAACACATTTTAAATTACTTGGGGGAGTTCTCATGAAAATATGGGGGTTATTATTTAAATCTTGATTCTATTTAAAGCCCCTTGTGTCTCCTCTAGGACCCAGCTGTTGTGTCCGCTGCTGTGGAGGCAAAGATGGAAAAGCTTTTGGTAAATGACTGATCTTATTCGGGGGGTTCGTGGGACCCTTTGTTTATTAAAATGTTATTAAGAGAGCTTTTGCCTCCTGTAGGATTCAGCCGTTGTGTCCGGTGCTGTCGAAGTGACGATGCAACGTCTTCTGGTAAAACACAGATCAGTGTGAAATATATTCGCCGCACATGCTTCTGTTGTCAGAATTTAATGTGTGTGTGTGTGTGTGTGTGTGTGTGTGTGTGTGTGTGTGTGTGTGTGTGTGTGTGTGTGTGTGTGTGTGTGTGTGTGTGTGTGTGTGTGTTTCAGGAGGAGCAGCAGCTGAAGCAGGAACTCAGTCTGTCTCAGGTGAGCAGATCCCTCTCTTCTACCTCTCTGTTCTTCTCCTGTTATACTTGTTGTTGTGATACAAACTGTGGGGTGAAAAGTGCCCGGAGTCTCATCAGGGTTGTGTGACTGCCATCTAGTGGTGATGAAGGAGAACTGCAGAGGGTACAGGTTTAGGTACATAATGTAGCTTCAATGTATTATTTAATTGTAAAGGTTCTGTTCTATCTCTTTCTTTAGATGAAGGAGAGTCTGCAGCTGGACCTGAAGGACCTGAAGGACCTGCAGGACCTAAACAATCTGCAGGACCTGAAGGACCTGCAGGACCTGAAGGACCTGAAGGACCTGCAGGACCTGAAGGACCTGCAGGACCTGAAGGCTCAGCTTCTCGTCTTGGACTCAGAGACTCGTCAGCTTCTGCTGCATGAGGTTTCAGCTCTGAGTCGACAGATGGAGGATCATCAGACGGAGAGTCTTTCTGCCTCTGAGGCTCTCAGAGTCCGGATCCAGACTTTAGAGCAGCAGAACTCTAAGGTACCAGCTGGAGGAGAAGTGGAGACATGATATCATTCTGCTGGCTCCTCTCATCTGTCTCATGTATCTGTGTGTGTTTCCCTGTAGTTTTCCCAGGAGTGGTCGTCCCTGCAGATGACGCCCCCCCCAGCCCCCTGTCCTGAACCAGGCCTGCCCCCCGTCCAGCACCAGCTGACCCCCGAGCTGCAGCAGGCCCTGGAGAAGTGGCTCAGTGACCGCATCAAGGTGGGAGGAAGGGGAGGCGTTTTCAAAACCATCTAGTGTTTATATTCAAGAAAAAAAGAAAACAAGGAAAAGAAGCCATTATTTCCAAGTAAATGCTCTGCCTTTGTCTGCACGTATTAACGGTATTTACTGTGACCAGGACCAGACGTCGCTCCGCCTCACAGGAAGCTGCTCAGACTGTGGGCGACCCGACGCAGACAAAATGGCCGACTTTGCTCTGGAGACTCAAGGTCAGAGACATCAGACAACTTTGTTTTATTATAAAACTTAATTATCTCTGAGAGCTTCTTACAATTCAGACAACAATCACAGCTAACAAAGGTGTGTGTGTGTGTGTGTGTGTGTGTGTGTGTCTCTCTCTTTCTCTCTCTCTCTCTCTCTGTGTGTGTGTCTCTCTGTGTGTGT